GTAAGCCTGCAACTGATAAATCACCAATTCAGTGAATAAGTAGTAACAACAACAACCACTAATTATCCTGTCAAATCAAAAGTTGCGTATATTATTGGCTGAGAACAGTACCCCATTCTATGCCAGAATGTGCTGCCTTGATCTGAAAATGAAGGCTTCCACACAACCCGGTGTTTCGGCTTCTAAAAATGAAACTGAGAACATCCCTATATTGTTGGCATACAACTAAATGCGGTAAATTTTTTTGATTTGCCGCAGTGCTGGGACAGAACGTACTCGTCTTCGCCGGTTTTTGATTTTCCTGGAAAAACTGGAAGATAAGTGCGAGCAATCGCACTGACAGTCCGTAGAATATTTCTTGGAAAAAGCGAATCCGAACGACCACTGCCTGCCATCCTGGATGCCACAACATCTCGAGCAACGGTCGTCTGTTCGCTGTTATACCTGAGCATCAGCCCGCTCAGTTTCAACGCTTCAGCACGCTCAGCAGCGTTATCAACATTCAGCTCCAGAGACCTGGAATTCTGGCGCAGGAGTGAGTGTAATCTGAGGACGACTGAGAAAAAAAAAACATTTCCAGAAATCATACCATTAATTCGGATCATAACGATCACTATCTTTAAAAAGATGATCGTCCAAGCCTTCCACATTTTTGCCTTCTATGAAAGACCGAGGCATAAGAAAGTGGTCCGCGTGCCAACAAAAATCACATGCTGACAAGGCTTTAAACGGCTCCCTTTTCCGAAGATTGCTTGGAAACAAGCCAAGGGTGAGTTCGACTCTCTCACAAGCCAGTATTAAACGACCATCGAAAAAAGTGAACGAGCAGCAGAGAGACTAGCTGTACTGGGGTTGGAGCCATAATTCAATATTTAGCGCGAAAATGTATTCTATATTTTTGTTTTTATTTATTTTTGAAATTTCACAACTGTTATTGACAGTTGCGAAATTTCAAAAATAAAAAAAATAAGAATATAGAATACATTCAATTTCACTACATAAAATTCCAAAAAAATGGAAACAAATTTCAAAATTTTATTTCATTATACTTCCTCTGAGAAGTAAGTAAGGACATTCGAAAGTGGAACAAGTGACAACAGTTTGACCCTCTCTATCAAACTAATACTGGTTAGCGGTTTTGTTTTCCAAAACCAACGAGAAATAAACGCCAAAACACTGCAGTATTTTTGCTAGCAACTGAGAGGGCAGTTACCTTCTTTATCATTATAAATTTCCATTTCTTTTTAAAAAGCCGAATTTTATCACACTAAAAAAGTCATTCTTTTCAATTATTTTCATCTTTCACGCCCAGTTCTGCTTGACAGCAAAAAGTACAGTAAGTGCCATCCAAAAATAATCATATTTATCCAACGAAAAGGACATCAGACTGCTTAGCCAATCCACACATTTGAATCGATGGAGTGACAAGGGCAAGAAAAGCGCAAAATTGCAGTCGAAAGAAAAGTTTCTGTACAAAGGAAAATTCAGACTAAGGATTAACAGCCGTTTACAGCATTCCAAGTACGACCAGAAGCAGAACCTTGTTATAAAAATATCGATATACATAGACAACAGTATCGATAAATCAGACGGCAGACGAGAAGCTTTTCGAAGAATTCGATAACTGACTGCTCGGATTGAGCTTGCATCCGATAATACGTATCGCCCAACCCTAAACGCAGAAAAAAAACATATCTTTCTCATTCTTTATACGTTTTTGCATATTTATACAGATGCAAAAATACATATTCCTATTTTGTCACCCACTTTCGACTTAACAATCAAAACAGCCAATAAGCTGGAAGTTTTGGAGCAATTCCAACTCCATGTGCGACCCTCCGTTTTAACGCTATCATTCACGAACCCTTAGGTCTCAAATGTGGATTTCTAAAAGATGCGTTTTTTTGGTGGGAAAGCAATTTCGAGAACCAGAAAAGACAAGAAGTTGAAAATTCATAGGGATATTTTATAGCAGTGTATTAGGAAAAACTATAAATCATTAATACACGCCTAACACATCAAAGTTAAAACTAAGACACTGTTGATAAAACGCGAGTGGAGAATAAGGTTGATCAGAGCGCTCTAGCTTGAGAAAAACATATGTTTTCCGTACATGGGCAAATAAGAGTAGAATGAACTTTGGTGTCCGCCTGTGTTCCATCTTCGGACATCTCAGAAACATTAAAATAACAACGCGCACCAGACTAACCGGTGCGATCATGCGTTTTGTGCAATTCAGCCCATCGAACGAGTGCCTGCTAATGATTTTCACTGCTTTGTACTTTAGTCTATGCAAAAATAGTTCAAACATTGTAAACAGTTAAAAATTTCGCGCACCAGCGCATGAAAGCTGAATTCGAATCTTGAACGGTGAATATCTCTCCGTGATTCCCAAGTTAATAGTTTACCCGCCAAAACTTTCACGAGGCCGTAGGTGATACTAAAGAGCGTGGGAAGGCTGAATTTGAATGGGCAAGGTTGAGCGTGAGCAGGGGTTATTACTCTAAAATTTCAAACTCCCAGACTCCGTGGTTCCTTACATATTAATTTAACCGTAAAAAATTTTCACGAGGCAGTACGTGTTACCCGCGGGTAAGGGAAGGCTGAATTTGGATGGACAAGGTTGAGCGTAGGCAGGAGGTCATTACCCTAAAATTTCAGCCTCCTAGATTCCGTGGTTCCTGAGATATTAATTTACCCGTAAAAAACTTTCACTGGGCCGTACAAGTTACCCGCGGGTACGGGAAGGCTAAATTTAAATTTGCCGCGTCACCCGTGGGCGAGGAACACTATACCAAAATTTTAGCCGCCTAGCTTTTGTGGTTCCCGAGTTGAAAGGGCGGGACAAAACGTGGGACACGCACAAACACAGACAACCCCGTGACAATATGCGTTTTGTAACGCTGTTACACAGCACAAAACGCATAATTAATTTCGCCAACGAATCAAGCTAGGAGGCTGGGGTTTTACGAGGATATTCCATGCCTATGTGCGTTTTAATTCCACCTTCAAAGCGTATCGTATGCGCGCAGCTAAATATCATTTTCAGACAACGTTGGCACCAATCAACTCAGTAACCAGACTGAGTATGAAGCAGTACATTTCTGAGGATGCCTGCTGTTCATGTGCGAGCCAGTAAACTTGAAATGAGCTTTTGCTTAGGTACGGGTCCTGCGTTCAGGCGAATCAAATGTTTCAAGTGCAATTACATCGCAGCTACACAGCAGCAGCACAGGCAAAAATGCATTATCGTACCGACAATTCTTTTGCATCGCTGTCTGGGTTATTTCTCGTAACAGCCCTTTTTTGCCTGCCTTTCCACATTAACAATGCAGAGATGTAAAATTATGATAAAAAATAAATCGAAAGATGGCTGCAACACTGCTTTCCCGGGCTATAAACGGATCA